TGTGTGTGTGTGTGTGTGTGTGTGTGTGTGTGTGTGTGTGTGTGTGTAGGGGCTATCTTCCCTGCAAGGAAGACAACAGAAGCAGGCCTTAGGGATGGAAAACATAATTATGCCTTTGTGGTTGTTATTTTGCATTTTATAAGCATTCACTTTTTCAGATTGTGGTTCACAAATTTCTTTCTATCCTTGGGCAGCCTGGCCTGTGAGGTTCTGGGGGAGGGACATTGGAGGGTAGGTTAGACACAGGAGTTGGGGGTAGTCCTCGAGGGTAAGGGGAGGGTCTGGAGAAACTGGGAAGCAGTGGGCTTGGCAGGAGAGGGGTTGACATATGTGGGGAGCCCTGGGGACCCACCCAGGCAAACAGGCTGGCAGGGAGAGCAGGCAGTGTTAACTCTTGCTATGCCACACTGCCTGACCCTTCTCTGAGAGTGGCTGTCGTTGAGGTGCTAATTTGTCAGTAACTGGAGGTGTGTAGGGTCACAGGAGGCAAGGTAGGCAAGAGAAGTCTGAGCAGGAGCCACCATCACTTGGAGGAAATGGTAGCAGTTCTTTAGTGTATCTTCTTCGAGCTTCTGTCCTTGGTTTCCATATGGTCTCTGTCAGTCTGTCTTTCTCTGTCTCTACCTCTCTGTGCCTCTACAAGGTGACAGTGGGTCTCCACTCAGGCTAACTACACAATCTGTCACTCTCCGTGCTGCCAGCCCAGCTGGAAGCCCCCCTTCTCAGCACCCAGCCCAAGCCCTCTGCCCCTGGCCCCCTAGGCCTTATTGCCTTTGTCTCCTAAGGCGGCCTCCCCTTTCTTCTTCCTCTTCGCTCACCTCTCCTCAGTTCAGAGCCCATCTCCAATCTCATTACAGCCTCGGCCTCCAACCACTGTACCACCCCCACCCCCACCCCCAGCCTCTTCTCCTCCCTCCCCCATCCATCTGTCTTCCCTGAAGCTCTCCTCTTTGTGTCCTCCCATCTGTCACCACCAGCACTGGACCTACTCCCCTCCGGGCCACACCCACCTGGCCTTTCTCCCCTTGGGCTCAGTTCCCTCTCCTTTCCCTTCCTCCTTCAGCCCTAACTAGGAACCCTTCTTCCTCTGTTTCCTCTCACAAGCTTGCTTTTTTCAGGATGTTCTCCCTTACTTCAGTTTTTAATCCAACTCTAGTATCTCTGACCATTCCTCACTTGTGAGTTGGGGGAAGAGTGAGGACTCCAGGGTCCCAGCCCCTAACCCCTGAGCAACCACTTAGTTGGGACGGAGGATGGTAATGCTGGCTCACAGTTGCATCATCTCGGGTGAATGACTTCTCCTTAGGCCCCCTGAGATGACCCTCCACTCTTGCTCATGTTTCCCTGTTTGGGCCCAGGGCTTCCACTGCCCTTCTCCACCACAGAGGAGTGAGGCTCCCTTCTGCTTTAAATTCATGGAGAATAAAAAGGTATCCAGAAGCCTACCGGTGGCCCTGGCCTTCCAAGGGCTCCAGATTCTTCAGCCCAACTCCAGCTCTCTTTTATTTCTCTTTTGTCCTCCCTTCCTCCTTCCCTCCCACCGAACCTCTTCCTCTTTCTTTTGAGGAAATGACGCCATACTTCCCAAATGTCTACTGTTCCTGGGCTAGGGACAGTAGTGTCCCTCTCTAGAGCTAGTTCTTGTTCTCTACGAGTTCCTGAGTTGATCATCTTTTCAAATGGCCCCTGCTCCAGGAGCTTAAGAAGAAAGAGGAGGTTAGAGTCCCAGTTGTTCCTTCATAAACCAAACAGAGCCAGTGTGGACTAGAGAGAGCAGCCCCTTGTCAAAAGTCTATACTCCACAGAGAACACTGGGGCCCAGAGAGGGGCAGTGTCCCTCCCAATGTCACACAAGCAGCAGAGACAATCTCTGGTCCTGAGCTCTTCACACAACTCAAGGCTCCTATCTGTTGATCTTGGCCTGAAGCAAACCCATTGTCCTCTGATCGT